GTTTACCTATAATTGTGAGCGTTCATAGGATAGTTAACACTTTTTACATTAGAAATACACTGGAACATAGTATAAAAATTATAATTATTTATCTTAAATCTGAATTAATGTCATTGATTATAATCAAGTGAGCAAATTCCAGATTAGCTCAAAGTAAACCATGATGTTTTACAATGATTGTTATTATATAAACCACCATAAAATATTGTATATGCACATAAAATTTAATATTTCTTAATTTTTAAATACACCTTTCTCCAAAGCATATAATTATTGGGAAAAAAATGATATCCTGAAAAGATAACTTACTAGTGTCTAGGTCTTAGGACAAGAGTGTGCACTTTCAGCAATTGCTGTTATAATTAATTACTTGTAATAAGTGCATTTCTTTCTCACCTAAAATTGCAGATTTTACAATCTTGTGAGTACTATAATATGAAAATTCCTCCAGAACTTTAAATTAACCATTTAGGATGGGCATGGGTTTCCAAACTTTGTCACACATTTAAACTATTCAGGGATCTCTAAAAAATTCAGATACTTGTCACCCCCTTTCCCATTGTAATTTAATTAGTATGGGGAGTGGCATGTCTCTTGGAATTTTTAATTTCCTCTCAGCTAATTCAAATATATAACAAAGTTTTGAAACTATTCATCTAGGACTTCTTTCTTAGAAAAAGCACTGACCTCAAATATGTCAAGATAAATAGTGCTATCATAGAGAAATAAGTCAGAACCACCAGGTAAACTTTTGAAAGTACTAATTTCTAGGCTTCATTCTCAGAGATTCTAATTCAATTGGCCTAGTGTGTTTTAGACCAAAGTTATACAAAGGATTCTAATGCATGGTTAAGGTTGAAGTTTGGGAATCATTGAGCTAAATTCTCCACGTGTCTATGTGAAATTCTGATTCATTGAATATATCTGCAATTCCCTAACTAATCTATTCTTTTACATTGAGATCCTCAAGTCTGAATGGCACATTTTGATAAATTCGGTTTGAGGTGGCTACAATGTTGTGTCTTCCCCTGTCCCCTCCTAGTCCTTTGTTTTTCATGTTTCCTTCTGGTTCCCCAAAGATTCACAGTGCTATTGTCTTCTCATATAGTAGAATTCAACTCTGTTGCCTCTTATCCTGAATCATTTACTCAATCAATAAGCATGGAGCACACTGTGGAAGCATTGTACAAGCAATCATTAAGTGAGCATCCAGAAATGACTCTCATGATAGCAGAGCATTGACAGCTAATTGCCTTGAAAATTCAGTTTTGTTCACCAGTAGGGTAATCATAAGAAATTAAATTAACCTAAGAAAATGGGCAATGTTTAGAGGAAAAATCAGCCTTCTTTTGATTACGTATGAGTTTCTGTGTTGTCTATGCATAGCTATTTTTATTAGGGTCAGCTGGTAAAACTATTATACCAGTTCTCTTGCCTTTACATCTCACCTTTCATTCATGGTGAAATTTCAACTAAAGATAAGAAAGAACAAGGTAAGCTAATTTAGAGAAGCTGTGGCTTATTGTAAAAGGAGATTTCTCTCTTTATTTCCAAAAAATATGATTTGTAGATGATCACATTTAGATGTTAGTGGTAGATTTGAGGCATGGCAGTATAGAGCTTTTATCATTCTTTGCCCTAAAAACTTCTAATGCTTCTCCATATTTGCTTAACAGTATTTTTCACTCAATTACTAACAACATGATTGATTTAATGTCTCTATCTTTCAATTTGTAAAAAAAGAAATTTCCAATTATAGCATTACTTGAAAATAGAAAAAAAATTCTTGTGTTTTATCACAACCACCTCTAATATGTTATATATGTTAACTATTTTTATTATTACATATGCATAAATGATACATATTATATTTGTAAAATATATTTTACATTTTATTTTGATGCTTAATTAGATAACTATCATATGACCATCATACACTCTGTCTCATACTCTGATTGTGTCCTGCATGAGATCACTTAGTGAATTTCTTTAATATCATCATGTGCTGAATACCAATAAACTCCTGTTTGTAGAAATGTGTGTGTGTGTGTGTGTGTGTGTGTGTGTGTGTTTAAATCTGACGTTTTTGCTTTACTTTTCCATAGTCAGAGGGTTGATAGTGCTTCCAGTTTGTTTTACATTAGGAAGATCCAACAAAAGCTGTTTCTTTTTTTTTCCTGCACACCTTCATTTTAAACCAAACTCCCTATGAAAGAGAAATTTCACTCACTGTTGAGTTTATTACCCTATTCAGCAATATGCAGAAGGTTACATTTATTAGAATACTTGGCAAAACATGTCACAGCTGAAATTATGTTAAGATTTATTCATGAAATTTATTTTCAAATTGGCCAGAAATTAGTTTACTTTTACAATTATACTCTTTTTTCAGAAAATATTCCATAACCAATTTTTAGAAAATGAAAACTAGTTATAATTTTGTTTCTTTTAAGGTATAAGACTTGTTACCTTAGTCCTTATAAGTATTTTGAATACTAAACCATAAAATATGTTTTCCATTATGTAAATAATTGATCAAGCTAATGTCCTGACACTAATTGGATTTACTATATTTGCTCTGTTACAGATTTAAGTATAATTATCAGTTTTTAAGACATGTACCAAGATTAAGTGATAGTTCCCATGAGTCTGTGTATATGCTAGAAAAAGGACTTTACAAAATGTTAATATTTCAACTTACCAAAATTTTTCATCATGAGCCAGTTGAAATATAAACCTCCAAGGAGAAATCAGAGACAAGAATTTCTGTATCTTCATGCACCACTTTATCTTTGGAGTTCCTGATTTAGAATCTGCATCTAAATTGCCCTTTTAATGGCCATCACCCAAAGAGTCACTCAGAGTTCATGTTACATTAAAGATAGTTGTGACAAAACCCAGGTTGGATTTGATATCATATATGTCATACAGTAAGTGGACATTTTTGTTTTATATTTCCTTCCTGATTCTCATAAGGAACAATCACACAAAAGGTAGTTGAATTATCAGGCTTTCTCTTATACACCAAAATCATGGTTTTGGAGGCCATTTTTCCAGGATTCTAGTATTTTTTTTAATCACTTAAGTCTTTTGATGTAAAATCCTCTGATTGATGAAACAGGATTATGTTTGATCATCACCATTAAAGGCACTTTAAGAGCACATCTGTGAGATGGGTAATTAGGGACCCATCATTAATATGTGCAGGACAAGTCCTAAACACATGGAATGATCCCATGAACCACTCCTCCTCCCATCTTGGACATAAGTTAGTTTGTTCTTGCTTTATAAAGAGACTCCTTGATTTTGTCTCTTGATGGCAACATTTTGATTTTATGATCGTTACTTCCAATATGCTCAGCCTCTCGTTTTAGGATTCTCTCTTGCCTTTGTAAAACAAAAAAGAGGGGAATTATTGTCTGTGCTTGTTTTAATATCTCACATTGGCATTAATCTTGCCAACTGATTAGAAGAAATAACACTGTAAATTATAGAATCCAGTGTTTCAAGATTTTATTCATTTTAAAAAGATTGTTTTTTTAAGAATAATAATGAAAATATATATGCCACTAAAAACAAAATACATTTTGGGGAAAAACACTTAGTTATTCAGAAAATAAAGATTAAAGCAGCACATCATTTTAATATGCATATAATTAATTGTCAAACTTCATATTGTGAAATTTAATTAAACGTGGTCTAACCATTTGGGTTTTGAAATGCTAGGTAAAATACTAAGTGAAAGATGTGAGGGATCAATATTACCCTTCTGGCAGTTTTGTTTCAGCTATATAATAGCTTTCTTCGAAGATGTGTAGAGAGCTACTGATATTTTACCTTCATCTAGAGGAAAATGCACATTCTCTAAAGGGTAAATCTATTAATTAGAGACCCATACAGCTCTCTTTCTTGCTGGTGTAATCGTTAAATTGATTTTTCCAGTCCATCATGTAATTGTTCCAGCGATGGAATCCTGCTTTCCACTCTTGTTCTGCTTCATCAATATTTCCTGTAGAACATGGAATAAGTTGCATTAATCTAAATTTTAATCTGCTTACATTAATTGAAAAATAATTTTGATTATAGATGCCATTTTCTCCAAGTACACCACATAGCAATTCTTTATTCATTATTTAATATCAGCTTCTATCTCTACCTGATAAATTTTAATACAATTTTAATGCATATGTGAAAATATAAATAACACATGTGTAAAATTTCTATAAAATGTAAAAATAAATAAAATGAAGAAATGGGTTCATATATAATACTATGTCAAATTACCTAACATGTTTCTTTAGCCTCCGAGAAGATATGTAGATTCGCTTTCATTAGTCCTTTTCAAAATAACAAAAATATCATGTAAAGCATTTTTAAAATATGTAATTATACAGCAGAACATTATTGTTGGTAAAATGCTTACACATGAGTGTTTATCAATGCATAAAGAGAACTCTGAGGTTATCATTACACATATTACATTTTATTTAAATTCCAAACAATGTTTAGCTGTTGTTCTAGCTGCCTACTGTGTGAAAGCAGTTTATTAATTTCTTTGTAAAATAGAAAGATAACACAAATCTCTTTTCAAGCAGTTCACAAAGTATTCATATGTGTCTGGAGAAAGGAGTGTTTGGCCAGAAATAAAATGAGGCAATAAACCAAAAAAAGTTTTATGAATATCAAGAACCTCAAAATCCTGATTTATTTGAAAGTATATTAATATATGTGAAAATTAAAAACTCAAAATGTTTCTGATATAAGTAGACAGAACTGTAATGTGGTTTAAGTTATATAAGCATTTTATACCTTTGTGATTATCTTCATTCTTAAATGTTTAAGATGCTGAGTCATAGTCATTAAACTGAAAAGAAAATTTTAAGTAATTTCAAGAATGCTGATAATAGGAACTGACAATTTAATATATACTTTTTAGTTTAAAAACTTTGAAATTAATGGTAATTTTGTAAGAAATTAATTTGGAGAAAACAATTCAATGATCCATTTTCAGTCTGCATGAAAATCAAAATGTATAAAACATTTGAATATCCATTAAATTTCCTTTGTATTTTAAGATATATTTAGGTTTGGAGTATTTATAATGCTTGGACATTGGACAAATATTTGAGAATTTATATAAAATGTCCCACTGTTATATAAAAATAGCCTTTCAAAGATCAAACACTATATATATATATATATATATATATATATTTTGTTAATAATAGAACTTTCCTAAAGGGTCAAAAACACATTAAATGTGAAAAAAAGGATTTTAAATATCATACCAAATAATCCCCTTTTATTCTCCTTTAATGATAATTACATGCTATTTTAAATGTTACTGACAAAATGAGGACTCTATAAAGTTAAAAACTAATAAAAATTTTATATAAAAAAGTTATTGGTAATTTAGCATTAGGACATGAATTTTAATAATTACAGAAAAGATCCTGGATCTGACTTCCTTTTCTTATTTGTGGAATGGTCCCAAATCTAGTGATTCATGTAAATGTAAATGTAAAGTTGTTTCATAATCATTATGTTTCATAATTAAATATCTATACATTTTAGTGTTTTGAAAAACTTTTTAGTGCACAAATGCTGTGTAAACCTGAGGAATTTTTGTTTTGACTTTAAAAATACTGTTGACTGAAACAATAAAATATGAAACATTTAATTATTTTCCAGCAAAATCCAAAAGAAGTTAATGATAAGAAAATGAAGGTTTTGAGGACTGTATCCCAAACCAAAATTAAAGTTTTTTCTCACTTTCCCATCTTCCCTTCCTTTTGTTCTTTTATCTTATTTCTTCTCAATTTATACTAGCTTGTTTATTCCTAAGAACATAAAAATCTAGTCATGGGACAATGTCTCCATTATTTTCAATATCAGTGATAACCAGTGACAAAACCACTTAACTTGAGTACGGAGAAATGTCACAGTTAAGGATTACAATTTTTTCGAAATTATTCATTTATTTAAAATTTGAGAGAGGAAAGACCATTACAGTAATGGTCATATTTGATCTAAAGTTAATCTCAATACAATTATATCTTAGAACAGAGTGACACTGCTTAAAAAAATGGGTTTCCTATATTGATCAAAATACAGGGTTTAAACTAGAAGTATAACTGAAAGCCATCAAAATAAATTTTGTCTGAATATAGTAATCGTAGAAAATTAATCTTGTTTTATAATATTTCTCATCATAACCAGTCATAACTGAAAGTCCATAAGTATGCTAATTATAGTAATATGTTGTATGTGTACAAATATTCTTTGTTAGAAAGAAAAAAGTTAATAAAATTTAGAATGACTAAGAAATGAAAGGAAATATAGAACATCGAAAAAAAGTGAATGGTTAGCAATCAAATTAAAAGTAAAATATTGATTAACACCATATTAATATTGATTAACATCCCTACACCTGTTTAATTGTTTAGAAATTATTTTCTATTTTTTAATGTCAATTACAAAAGTAATATTGTCTACTCACCAGTCACCATGAAACCCCCAACCCCCCAAAAAACTTATGTTGTCTTAACAAAATGCTAATTTAGTAATATTTTGAGGGGGCTATATAAGCATTACTCATATCATTTAATATTGAAGTGAAATTGTCTTCAAATAAGTTAATTCTTGGAATCCTCTTTCAACTTCTTTAGAAAGAAAGAATTCTAACTTGAAGAGTATTATTATTATTATTATTATTATTATTTTGTCTCTCTAGTGGTAATACTTTATATTTTTGGGCACTAGAAACAATGGAATGATCACCAAAATATATTAAACTTAATTAACTTTTATGAAGAAGTACAGATCAGTTGATAGGCCTTCCCCAGTTTTTATGCAGAATGTGATGTCCTCTTTATTCATTCCATACAATTTTGATATAATGTAAGTATGGACAAATATCTTCTCATTTGTAATATAAAAAATAGAGCAATACTATTTACTAATTATCTTCAACTTATGTCATTTAAATGACATGCAAAATAAAGTAATATAGAAAAGTAAAAAGTAAAAGATCAAGAACAAATATATGGCAGAAATATAAATAAAAGAAAAAATAAGGGCAATATGAATAACACAAGAAATTAATCAAGGTCAAAATCTTAAATAAGTAAATGATTATTCAGAAATAAGATTAAAAATCTTCACTACTAATGAAAGTAAAAATTCCAATGATTGTTAAACAAAGGAGTATCACAGTGAAACATAGGAAATAAAAGCACTATGGAAATATTAAATACATGTTAAGAACAATAAATTGTAGAATTAAATTGTAGAATTTAACTCATCTCCATTGTTCCTTGAATACAAATTTCCATTTAGAGGTAAATTTAATTTGTCATACTAAAACAGGAAAAAGCACTTTCATGGTAAGTTTTAAAGAATAAAACAAATATAAATAAAATATAAAGTATAAATGAATATAAGAGAAGCTAATATATTCTTGATGCAATCAAGCAAATAAAAGCAGCTATTTGGATATACAGTATTGCCTCAGAAGTGAAATTATTATGTCGATGCCATATAATACTTCCAGAAACTCTAAGTAGACTAGGTAGAAAAACTTGCATGCCATGAAATCTAACACTTTCAGGAATTAATAAACAGAACATGTCAGAATTCCATTTAAAATTACTAAAGGCTTTACTTAAGATAGAATTTAAATTCCTTTGCATGACACACGAGACACTTCATCTCTGGTCCCTGCTTATCTGGCTTCTCTCCACTTATCCTTGGGATTAAGATTCAGTGCAGGTATCTTCTCTTAAAAGCTTTCCATGATCATGCACCCTGACTCTACCACTTCACTGTGAGTGAGCAAACTCTATCATTTTTATTTGTGTAGCTCTAACTGATAGTGCAATTCCTAGGACACAGCAGCAGACAATAAGCTCTGTAAAAATTTATCAAATTAACTGATGAAAAAATAGAAAAAAGAGAAATCATATTTCTACCAGATATTTTGTTATACGTGTCATAACATGCTCTAGAAAATGCTCAGTAATTAGTGAAGTGTTAACTACCTAGGAAAGATAGTCCAATCAAACTCCGTACACCTGTTTAATTGTTTAGAAATTATTTTCTATTTTCTAATGTCAATTTCAAAAGTAATATTGTCCACTCACCAGTGCACCTACCACCCCCCAAAAAAAACATCTATCTTAACAAAAATGCTAATTTAGTAATATTTTGAGGAGGGGACTATATAAGCATTACTCATACCAATGTGTAATTTGACAACACATTGATCTCCTAATATAGATAGAAGTACATTTTATACTCTGAAGGCAAAGCTCCTCTTCAAAAATCCAGAGAAGAGTGAATGGGCTGGGCGCAGTGGCACACGCCTGTATTCCCAGCAGCTCAAGAGGCTGAGACAGGAGGATCCCAAGTTCAAAGCCAGCCTCAGTGATGCTGAGGCACTAAGCAACTCAGTGAGACCCTGTCTGTAAATAAAAATAAAAAAAATAGGGCTGGGGATATGGCTCAGTGGTCAAGCGCTCCTGAGTTCAATCCCTAGTACCAAAAAAAAAAGAGTCAATGACTAGGCTTACATTAATAAAACTAAATTCTGCGAGATTATGGATTGTTTTTATGTACTATAAAAATAATAGATAATGCAGTTTTTGTTTCCTGAAATATAACTGTTTAATGATAAAGTGAAAAATAAACACAGAGAATCTGAATATTTATGACAATAAGTGCATAAATAAATTTATGATTTTACCTGAAGATTTCTTAGAAAAAGAGTGATCCTTTATATTTATGATAGCAATTTTAGTATGAATATCTAAGGCATAATAATACATTACAAGTGTAATGAGTTCATATACATAAATATAAATGTATTTTAAAGTTTTTTTATATATTCATGTATATGTCTTGATAAATACGTTCTATTAATTTGTTATTATTTTTAACTTTCTTATTATGCCTAGAATTAAATGAGATTGTTTCATTTTTTACAATTTCATTTAGATGAGTAATTTAACTAAAATTATTTAAAATGGCACAAAATATTTTCTAAAATATAAAACAGAGACAACCTGCTCTATGTGTGTGGGTTTTGGGGAGTATAAGAGGATCAATTTTTTTTTGTTTGACAAGATAGAAGATAAAGAGAAAGGAATAGCAATGGGAGAATAATAATAAGAAAAAGTAATTTCATATACATATGAACATAATTTGTTTAATTCACATTTTTGTAACCTTTGTTTTGCCCATATTTTGTATTATTTGAGAAAAATGTTATTTTTCCCTTATGAGTAGAATAATAATGATAAGGGTTTTTGTTTTGTTTTGTTTTGTTAATAAAAGTGATTAAGCAACTTGTCAGCAGAACTTAGTCAATTTATTTAAATCAGAGACATTAGAAGTTGTTTTAGCTCATTTGTTCTTCTATTATGAAATGACACACATTGGGTGGCTTGTGCACAACAGAAAGATACTTTTCACAGTTCTAAGAACATGATTAAGGCACCCACAGATTTGAAGTCTGGTGTAGTCGTGTTTCATCTTTCATAGATGGCTGTCTTATCATGTGTCCCTCCTGTGTAGCAACAGAGAAGTTCTCTCAGACCTTTCTTATAAGGGCATTAATCCCATGATGAAATCTGTATTCTCATAACCTCATCACCTACCAAAGGTTGAACCTTGTAATACCACCACATGGTGGGGTAAGATTTCAGCATATGATTTTTAGAAGGACACAGACATTCAGATCACAGAAGGAGAGAATTAAAATACAGTTTGATCAATTGATCTAAATTTTTACTGGAGGTAAGTTAGAAGAAGACACGAAATTGACATTGAATTGTGCCAAGTATGATAATTAAAACACCATAATTTATGTATTCAAGAGTTCATTAAAATTTATTTCATTCCCCCATCTTATATTTATTTCCCTATCATGGACTAGTTATAAAAATTATCAGGGAATTCATATTTTTATGTAGTAGCTCACAAATGTATTAGATTTCCTTTTTTAGTTTTAATGTGGGATGAGATGATAGAATGAACTACTTTAAATTCAGGTTCGGCATTGTGAAAACTTCTTGTACAATTAAGTTGATTTCATTATAAGTTACTCAACACCTTTGTCTTTGTTTTGATTTACTGTTAATGATGAGTGGAGAATTCAGACATATTAATACAATAAAATCAGTTTGATTTTTTATCTCCAAATCACCTGTCTGCTCTCATTTTTGGTTGTCAGTCTTGCTTATTGATTTGCAAATAGAAGTAAATAACTACAAAGTAACCAATCCAAAAGATATATGACCTCTTCAATTTTTTATTTGGTGTTCTTTAATTTTAGCAAGCAACAATATCCCATGATTTATTCAAAGGCCAATGGAAAAACCATTATATCTAATATTTTTCTTTATTGGGATGATATAAAGGTCAAATAACTTCTTACTTTAAATAAATTTACTCTTTCATTTTTAATGGAAAAGACAATATCATTGAGAACAAATAATGGGTAATTTCTCCACTTAACTTTCTTTATTCAGATAAGCATGAGATATAGTGAAAAGCAGAATTTGATAGAATTGGAAACAAATACTGTAACTTTATTTTTTACAGGTGCATGCAATAGCTCCAAGGCATGGACTGAAGTATAGCCTGGAAGTGAATTGCTAGAATTCATGTGTTTAAACAAGTTCTAAGAATCAGTCTTTTTGAGAACATTTATTGCTCAAATGTAAACTATCACCGAAGTAGTACTTATAAAGTTTAGTGAGCTTCTGGTATTACGTGAGGTAAACATTTCTGCTTTTAAGAAAACCAGTCAGTAGTTATCTTCTGAAATTTTCATTTATTTGTAGGGCTACCTTAAAAAATAGCTAAGTCCTTCAGCTATCTTATTGACACTAATTTTCAAAAAATTAAATATGAAAATATTTGAAGTTTTGTGGCTGGAAAAAATAAGAGATGGCAAGAACATGTGTTCTTAAACTTTTTAATCTCCATACATTGTTTATTTATGAAACCTAAAGCATGTAACTTCAAATTGGTTTTGTTTGTTTAAATGTAATGATTTTTAATTAATGACTCTATTGTTGATGTTACTATAATCATGACATATATTTAGTTTACAACTTACAAATTCATATATTTAATATGAAAAGTGTTTTGGGGGAGGAATTTTTAGAAGAAAAATGGTGCTTAAATACAAAATTATTTTTTAAGCCACCTTGGATCTAACCTTAGTGTGGTACTAGCCCAGAGCAAGTCAGGTATTTCTATAGAGCTCAGTGGGGCTCAAGCTCTGACATTGTCCAGCATTATTGCAAGCAGCAGCAGCTGGTCCAAAATATTGGAATGTGTTTATTCAACCTGTTTTGTAGCAGATTAGTATGTTGACAGAGAGATTTTTGAAGCCTGTTTTCTAGTATTTAAGTTTTATTTCATCAACAAATAAATTACCATAGACAACTTGTGATGAAAAGGATTCAGTTTTTCATATAATAAATGAGTCATTTAAAATCACCATTGCCCTCTCCCCTCACTTATTTTCCTTCAAATTAGGATGCACTCAATCAAAATATTTTAAATAAAGATGAATATGTAGTCTGTGATATGTTAAATAGTATCTGTTTGGGCTCTTGGCAGATTACATGGGTTACCTCATTGTTATTCACATGTGGAGGACACAAGGACTGCACTGTTGCTTTGCCAAGGGAGGCAGAGACCCATCTCTGGGTATATATTATGTCACACAACATTGGGCGATACACAGAGCACTGGTATGTAAGAAACATATCCTAAACAGATGGAGTACACGATCATAATGTTGATGAGTAATGTCTGATAATCAAAAGGCATATTAAACAATCCAGTGCATCTCTAAGATGTTCATATTTGTCTGAAACTAACCCCTAAAATCTCTAAACAAGAAAATAAAAACATACTGTGTTGCGACATCCTATTTGTATAATCTGAAAATTACAGACAACCATGACAATCAGAATGATGGAACTCAGCAGCAATAGGTCAGCTGATTGAAAGTCAATTGCCTTTATTTGAAAAGTAAAATTTAAAAATGGACTTGAGGAACAACATGAATTATTAATGACTGGGTATTTTAAAACTTGGCAATGAATTGAATATGAATTTCATTCTTCTCAGAGACATCAAAGTAGGATGATATACGTCTGATCACTCAAGCTAATTAAATTATTTTCTCAGTAATGAATATTGAATTAATGATAATCAGAACTGATTTTTATAGTATTTCCTTATATAGTTTTGATCAATTACACCCTGAAGATTAGTTAACCACATTTGTTTATAATATTATGTAATTTACACATGTGTGTATGTTCTTAAATACTTTCAATCTTAGATTCCTTAAAACATTTTGATTATGTTTTTAAATATGTAAATTTTGGAGCTCTTTCATCCCACAGATTCTATTTAAGAAATTAATTTTACCTATTTTTAGTACATACTTTTTAATTCTATACGTTGTTTATTTTATGTATTTATTCATATATTCATTAATTCATTCCATGAAGATGGCTGAGTAAGTAGGGCCCAATTTAAATTTTATACTTCTCCAGGAGGAAAGTTATTTTTGATTTATTTATTTAACAACTAAAATACTACTAAAGTACTACTCGTATAGTTAGTGCTCAAAACATATGTCTAAAGTTGCTGGAAAAAATGTTATTAAAATTATGGACTCATTGGAATCAAGTAGCTATAAAGTCATAATATTGAATATTAACATTATTAAATGAACAATGCCTCAAATAGTAGACCTCTTCTCATTTATACAGTTGCAATCTATTATTTAACCAAATGAAAACAAACACACAAATACCTGTCATTTCCAAGACTTTGGGAAAAAACAGTGTCCAGAATCGGCATTGTTGAGCACGTAGTTTAGTGTGCACACTTGGAGATCCTGTGTTCAAGCTTAGGTACTTTTGTTCAGTGCTTTTGAAGACTGGCCATCTTGTGCTATTGTTCTGGGTCCCATTTGGATGCCTAAATATAGACATTTTATTTCTTTTAAAATAATTTTTAAATAAAATAAAAATATTCTTCTGTAAAACAGTCAACAAGCATTTTGAATCAGTCAAAAATGGTGATATATTTTGGTGATCTCAAACATAAATGAACCGGGTTGATCATTTTTAGTATCTTGAAGCAGTGTATTAGTAAAAATTATATAAATTAAAATGTAAAGATGAGTTTACTGCATGCATTTATATGTAATATACCAGGGAAAAATGTTTTCAATTTCAATAAAGTATTTATTGATTTATACTTAAACATGCTCAAAAGAACATGTTATTTTTGTTCCATTCTCTTCCCAGGCCCAAAATTTTCACCATGAATATGAATACCATCTACTCAATGTTTGAGACACATCTCCTCATTATGTAGTGACCTCATTAATCTACGAAACTGCTTCATCTTACTTTTAAGATCTTCTTATGTTCTCATAGATCTAATTGATTAAAAAAACTTCAATTATTCCCTCTTGGGTTCAGATAAAGGCTAAAAATATGGTGTAAGCCACATTGCTGAACTTATTTTCACATATATATTTTTTTTTCATAAAGTAGCCAATAGGAACTGGGGACAATTCTCTGTAACTCTCAGCTCTATTTTACTTCTTTGACTTTATTCCAGCTTCTAATTCTATTTGGAATTTCTTTATTTACCAATCTCATGGGTATACATTTGTTCAAAAACTACATAATATATTTTTGTTTATATTTCCAAATCTTTAATTGTGATTTCAATAAAAAGTTGACTCCATTTTTATTTTTAGGTTCATTTATACCTTTCTAGCACTCCATAAACATGATTACCAAGATATCATAAAAATGGCTCTAAGTGGTTAGTGGCTAGTGTATAGGTTTCTCATTAATGCATCTTTATGTTTTTAATATTAGATACTAATCTAGGTTATAAAGATACAAATAAATATGGGACATATAGTTTTCCTCAGGGAATTTATAAGCAAAGACATTAATGGATGCAAAGAACCAACAGTACAAAGTATCCTGAACCATGTCTAAACAAAGGACACTATTTGTCAGAAGAAGGAGCATTCACTACATGCTTGAAAGGAAATTACCTGGAAGAAAGGGATTCTGGTTGAAGCAAGAAGAGAAAATAAGAAACTGAATCAGAAAGGTAAGTGGGGAAGACTAGGGAAAAGGAAAATAATAGAGAGAGACATAAGTAAAAAATTTGCTTCTTGGTTCAAATAATGATAAAAATATTATTTCAAATTCTAAGGTAGAAGAAGCTACCCTTAGAACTAAAAATTTAGGATACTTTTGTTATCAAATTAATATCTGGTAGCCTAGGTAAATAGTTTAGACTTTAGCTTATAGGGATTTACTACTCTTGAGGGATTTTTGATGAAAAGTCTGTCACGAATGCACTATTTTATAAATATTAATCTGAAGGTGATCTTCACAGTAATTTTTAAAAAGCCTATGAAGTAGTTATAGTTCCTTCTACCAGACACAGAACACTAAATTAATAAAGATAATCAATGAATGCAATCCTTTCTCTTAGGTTTATTTTTACCTTAAGCAAAAATATATACAAACTCCATTTGAAATTTTCTAAGTTTAGTACCTCAAATTCTTCATCATTCAAATAGATCTGTAGATCATTAATAGAAATTTGGAAGTGTTAATAGATCCATGATTTGGGGGAACTTGAGGAAAGGTGTTAAGCAAAAGCCTCTGAACTCAGCAGAGTTATGGAAAGAGAAGCATTCATCCAGCATAGTTCTCAAGTGGCAAGTTTTGCCATCAAGAACTTGTATTGAATAAGCACCATAAATTCATATTTTATCATAGAAGCAGGCATACTCAACCGTGAATTCAGGAGCTTTAGAGATAAATAGCTTCCTGATGGACTAGTTGATTTTATGTAGCAATTGGATGATTTAATAAGGATTATTAATAACCATAGCTATTCAAGCTAAATCAAAATCATAGTAGGATTGAAACCTCCTGCTTTAGGGTGTTATTTGAGAGAGGTCAAGAAGAAAATTTCTCCAGATCACAGATGGCACACTTGTCTAGGAGAATTATGTAGTCTTTTTCTTTTCTTTTAAAGCTGTAGAAACTAACAAGTACAGCTGCTTGAGGCAGGATATTAAACCAGGAGAACCATTGGTCTGATTCGGTACAGCAATTCTAATGTTCCTAAATTGCCCACTTTCCTTCTAATTCCACTCTAATTAACTTATGGCACCGTTTTAACTGCACATTCATTTCTGGCTTCTACAAATGTGACTTAAACGGAGCTGACTTGTACTTGAGTTCAAGAGCAAAGCACTAATGGCACTGCCAGTGTTCATTTAACAAACTTTGTCCTATGATATAACTCATGACATTCCAAATTGTAATTCAAAGATAATAAAATCCCTTTTTCTATGGATGCAGATATAGTTTTCAAAAAAATGATTGAAGTAGCTATTGAATCGATAGAGCATTTTACTCTATAATTTGAAGAAAATCTCCTAAGAATTGAAAACTGAACAAGAGATACATCTCTCTTCCTGTCTGCATCAATTAAAATGTTGTAAAATGTAGCATTTTTCCCAGGTAAACAATTCTGAAACAATATATAATTTTGATTTCAAAACTATATGAAAATTTTAAAACATCTTGGATCGGCTATTTCTCAAATGTATTTTCTGCTTTTGCCACAAAATAAGATGTCAAAGTGATTATACCTGAAAATTTTGAAGAATACTGAAGATCATACTGTATTTTTACTCTCAAGTTCTTTTTCTACTTTTTGTTATACCAAAATGATGGAAAGATGCTCTATTACAATTTGCCTCTTATGCAGGTTTAAAAGTTTGTAAGACACAACCTAAGACTGGAAAATAGTCAGACATTATCATCCAATATCTGTGCTCTAGAAAATTACATGCATGTCTTTGATATTTGAGCACACATTTAAAAAAGACATAGAAATGAATTTAAAAAAATGAATTGATATAGGATGACCCTATGAAGATGTATGAACTTAGTTTTATGTATAAATTTTCTTGGGATGATAGTTATCTGAATCTTTCTACCCAATTCTAACACAGGAATTAAGATTTTCCTTGATGAAGAATTTAAAGGCTTATCATTTATAACTTGCTTAACATACTTAATTCTAATTACACACAGCAATTTTGAAATGCATATATTTCAATATGATTTTAAATCCAGTACAATGAATCCAGGTTTTGTAGTTTAAAATTGAAAAAAAACACTTGAAATATTTTTCTTTCATAAGAGGGTTGACTGGAGACAGTTTACAATGAATAATAGCTTGAAAATGCAAATATTCTTGTATTCATATGAAATATGACAACATGTTTAAATAAAAATATACCTTAAGGAATAGAATGGCTGTAAGAGAATTGGAATTTAGAAAATAAATTCATTAATTAATTCAACCAATATTTATGGAGTATATATGACATAAAATAATTTGAATAACAGGAGATTTAACAGATAAAATAAAACGACTACATATTTCAGTTTTGATTCTGTGAGAAAGAAAACAAGCAAGAATGTATATATATATATATATATATGTGTGTGTATATATATATATATATATATATATATATATATATATATATATATATAATAAGATAGTAATAGGATGTAGAGATGATAAAAATGGGGAATGGGTATAATAGGAAATGGCAAATAAGTTCAGTTGGAAGAAGTTGGTGGTGGAGTATATAATATAGACATTGGAGCCAGTTGCAATGGTACACAACTTTAATCCCAGCTGCTCATGAGGTACAAAGGTCACAGGTTCAAGGACAACCTTGCAACTGGTAACTTAGCAAAAACTTGTCTTGGAAAAAAAAAAGTCTGGGATGTAAGTTCATATTGAAATATATGCATTTCGAATGTTGATGGAACATTTGCCTAACATACTTTAGGGCTGGGGTTCAATCTTAAGTACAACAAAGTAAATTTTAAATACTGGCCTTTTTAGTTTTTTGAAGCTGATACTTAAATAATTGTTATACATATCAATGAGTTATCATTTGATATTTTGATACATGTGTACATTATATAATGTTTAAATTAAACATCTTCTGAAACATCTATTATTGCTTCATGTTTTTTGTTTGTTTCTGTTTTTGTACTGGGGATTGAACTCAGGGGCACTCAACCACTGAGTCATATACCCAGCCCTATTTTGTATTTTATTTACAGACAGGGTCTCACTGAGTTGCTTAGCACCTGGCTCTTGCTGAGACTGGTTTTGAACTCATGATCCTTCTTCCTCAACCTCCAGAGGTGCTGAGATTATAGGTGTGTGCCAAGGATTCTGGCTTGCTTCATGGTTTTTATGATATAGATCTCTAACATCCCCCAAAGGCTCATGTGTTGAAGGGTTGGCCCCCAATGCAGCAATACCCAATAGTGGAACTTTTGGGAGGTGATTGGATCATGAGAGCTCTAATATCATGATTGAATTAATCCAATGATGAATTCATAGCTGTCTGTTCTACAGGGAGGTGAGGGAACTGTAGAATGTGAGACTTACTTGAAAGAAGTGGGTCCTTAAAGCATGCTCTTGAGGATTATATCTTGCTACCCTGTCCCCTCTCTCTGCTTCCTGGATGCCAGGAGGTGAGCAGTTTTGTTCTGCCATCCACTCCCTGAAATGATATTTATTCTGCTTCACCACAAGACCAGAAAAAACAGAGCCAAGTGGCCATCTACTGATATCTCTGAAACCATGAACCAAAATAAATATTTCCACTTTTAAGTTGTTTTTCTCAGGTATTTCGTCATAGAAGTGAAAAACTGACTAACAATGGTGAAAAATCTTTTTTTTTCTAGCTTTTTGATGTACACAGCATATTATTATTATCTATTTTCACCTTATTGCAAAATATCACATCAGAACTTCTTACTTCTTTAGTAACTTAGTACACATTGATCAACTCTTCTCCATCCCTGGTTTTCCCCTTCTCACCCCCAT